ACAATAATAATAATAATAATAATAATAATAATAATAATAATAAAATAAAATAATAGTTATTTATAATTGATAAAAATAATAAATATTATAATTTACTTCATAATATAATTTTATTTTAAAATGTACTAATAAAAATGTGTGTATATAAATAAATAAATAAATATATATATTTTTTTTATTCTACTATAATATTTTATAATAATCTATTTACATATATTCATTTTTTATTTTAAATTTTATACAAATAATAATGTGGTGGAGGACAGAGGAGCCTCTTAAAGAAGAAGTTACAGGTCTGTGAGAGCCAGAAATCTTGCTTGTTTGTAGGTGACCAAATACTTATTTTACCGAGGAATTTACCAATAAATTCTTTAAAAATCCTACAATGTGATTTTCTGGATTTTTTTTTCTCATTTTGTCTCTCATAGTTGAGGTATACCTATGATGAAAATTACAGGCCTCTCTCATCTTTTTAAGTGGGAGAACTTGCACAATTGGTGGCTGACTAAATACTTTTTTGCCCCACTGTGTATATATATATATATATATACACACAAACACACATATGATATTATACATTATATCTAAATATATTTTATAATATATTTTTATAACGTATACATTATATATATAAATTTGCAATTTGATAAATCAATAAAATAACGCAAAAAATAAATAATAAGAATAATACATTTTTTTTTTTATTACCATTATTTTCATTGTTACAATATTTTAAGGTTTTAAATAATTCAAAATGTAAAAATGTTACATCTATAATTGAATGTTTAGAGTCTCCATTGGGCAAACAACTTCTCACTATAGGAATTTCAAGGTAAACACTATATGCAAGAAACTTCCATGCGTATGCCTATGCTGATAAAAGGTATACGATTACATGCAGATATGTGAAAAATTATAGTCATTTCATTACAGGTTTCCCTGAACCTATGAAATGAGTTTTGTCTGTGTGTACCTGCAGACACCTGTAGTTCTGCCTCGTCTGTGGTTTTGGCCGGTCCCAGAGCATCTATGGTGCAGCGGTAGAGACCGGCGTCGCTCTGGGAGCCGTTGCTGATGACCAGAGCTCCGCTGGGCAGCTGTATGACCCTGCCATCGAGCTCCACGGGCCGACCGTCCCTCTCCCAGTGGGTGAACGGGACCAGCTCCTCCGTCACCTCACAGCTCAGCATCTCAGTGCCGCCCGAGCGCACAGACACACCCTCCGGCTGACTGAGGAAGCGTGGAAGTCCTGCGAGAACGCATGAGCTGTGTTACATTCCTACAGTAAAGCTCATTCAATCTCTACAATGACAGAATGAAGAAATTAAGCGAGAACAACTGAAATAACGAACCCTGGGGAGCTACAGACGGAGATTGGATGCTTTGCTAACTCTAGAGAAATTAAGTAAATAACACTAATGGTGTTGTCAAACCAATTAGCAAGTAAACTTGGGAGACGAGCAGCCATTAAGCATGTTTGAACAGCACAGCTGAGGGTCTGTTCACGATCATATTCCACTCATTTTATCAATACACTGATTAATGCAAGTTAATTAATTAAAGAGGCTAATTGCAATGTAGAGAAACAGATTTGTCTTCAAATTTCAGCTTACTAATTTAAATAGAATTTATTCAAACCCTGACCCGAATTAACATTCATCTCAAATAAGCGATAAAAGAACAGTTTTAAAGGAATTGACTCTTGACTGTTGAGAGGTTTAAGCGTATTAGATGAGGTTAATCCTGAAAGCAAGAAAAACTGCTTTAATAATCATGACTGCAGCAAGAAGTACATTATTTATTATTATTTAAAAATGGTAAACGGCAAGCAAATCTTAACACAATATTAAATTAAAAACACTCAATAATAAATGTTAATGTTTATGTAGGTAATTTTCAAAACACACATTTATATTTTAAAAAATTCTAAATGATTCTAAAAAGTTTAGAATACATACATTTATAACTAAAATAATAATAAAAAACATGTATAAAGATAAAAAATGTAAATGTTTTTTTTCTCCTTTGTTTTGAATATGACAAAGGTAAGTAATGTTTGGAGAAGAGAAAGATTTAATGAACAAATACTCATTTAGCACAAGAGTGTGATAAATGTTTAATATTTCATATAAAAGGAAAACTCTTTGTGCCATTAATTGCTTTGAAACTCACTAAAAAAGTCAACATCAAAAGATGAAGCACGAACAAACAGATCGTAAACACCACTGAGAATCCTTACGAGATTCACACACAAACACCAAGATGATAAAAAAAAATTATTTCTCTCGTCTTTAATCTCACGGTATCAAGTCTGCAGAAGTTCAAAGATGTTCCTGAAGTCTGTGGAAGAGCTTTATAATTCACCGTGCAGACGCACTCTCTCTAACAGCTGAATGTATGAGAGCCGAGAGCGTCTCTGACATCCTAATGTTCTCCTGGGCTATTTATGTGTCCTGGTTGATGTAGGACTTGTTGTGGTCTAGAAGCACTAGAGTCGTGTGTGTGTGTGTGTGTGAGAGAGAGAGAGAGAGAGAGAGAGGTCTGCTGAGAGGTCTGTAAATTAGCCCGAGCCTACGACACGATTCACAGACATACACACACATCGTGCTTTTAATAGGACACAAAATCCCAGAGTGCCAACGCAACAGGCCTGAAGACACGACACCTTCACTGGCAGAAAAGTGACTGCATCAGGACTCAAGCTGGGCAAATAAGGACAGAACAATGTGCCGCAGACCCACTGCGTAAACAGTTTACTGAGCCTGTCAGAGAGAAACTCCATGTGTAAATGTACAGTTCACATAAGCAAACATACATTCAGACTACACAAACACTAATACCCCGTCTGCAGTGATAAGACAATCAGAAACACACAAATCACACACACTGACAAACCCTACCAATACACACATGCATTCATTCATATGCACACACAACCACGCAAACTCACTTTGCTTAGTCAAGACAAGTACTAGTACTAAACTTGGGGTTAGCTGTTGTTCAAACCTATGACACTAAGTATTAACTTTCAGCAATGTGCAAAAAACCTTTCAGATCACCTTAGCAACTACATAGCAAATAAATAAACAAATAAAAGTACACAACCAACGACACAGCAACTCACTGCCCTGTTGAAAAAAAAACAGCATATGCTGGTTAGGTGTGTTTTGATGCTGGGATGCTGGTTTAAGCTGGTCCTTTGCTGGTTTATGCTGGTCATGTGCTGGCAAATGACCAGCATAAACCAGCAAAAGACCAGCTTAAACCAGCAAAGGACCAGTTTAAACCAGCTTAAACCAGCAAAGGACCAGCTTAAACCAGCATCCCAGCGTCAAAACATACCTAACCAGCATATGCTGTTTTTTTCAACAGGGTGGCAATCTCAACCGCATGGCAACACCCTAGCAACCGCATAAGAACATGTTAAAAGCCACTCAGAAAACCCTAACAATCACTTCGCAATTCCACCAGCAAACACAACTTGCTTAAAAAAACAAAAAACAAACTCAAAACACCCCAGCAACCACAAAGGAAAAAAGATACTTTTGTAACCACATAGCAAATCACTGACAACCACTCACAACAACCTAGCAACCACAGAGAAACAATAAAACCACTCAAAACACCCTCACAACTCCCAGGCAACCACAAACATTCCAGCAGCTATATCGCAATGTGCTTAAAAACATTTAAAATACCCTAGCGACTGCATAGCAACACACTAAAAGTCACTCGGAACACTAACACGCCAGCAACGTGTTAACAACAAACTGAACACATTTTCATCTGCATAGCAACCACATAGCAACACATCAAAACCCACTCAGAACACTCTAACAACCATCACGCAACTCCCAAGCAACTACACAGCTTTGTGCTAAAAAAAACAAAACAATTAAAACACCCTAGCAACTAGGGCTGCACAATTAATCGAATTTCCAATCGAGATTACAATTACAGATCACAGTTACAATTACGTAATCGTTCAATGAATCGTTCATAAGTCCACTTATTTTATTCTGCGTGCTTCAGATGTGTTTTTTTCTCTCTACAGTTTATCTTATGGGTTTTTCCATTGTTTTAATTTTAGTTTTAACATTATAATACCATGCATATTTTTACTTTTTTATTTAAAGAAGAAACCAACCCACTGTAGAGTTGACATTTGAGGCTTAATGTTATAGAAAAGCACTAAAAGTTTTTCAGTTAGAGTGTTTTCAGCTTGTTTATTTTCATATAAAAATATGGCATGCAGTTGCTTCAAACAATGGTATAGACATCATTCAGTGTAAAGTGTGATAATCGTAATTAATAAATCGCAATTATAAACTCAAGGGAATAATCGACAATTATGAATTTGTCATAATCGTAAATCCCTACCAGCAACCACATAACAAACTAAAAGCTACAGAATCCTCTGAACAGTTTATCAAGCGCCTTTCAACTTCCAAGCGCCCCAGAAACTGCACAGCAACATGCTAAAAAACAACCTGAACACATTTTCATCTGCAGAGCTACCACATAACAACACCCTAGCATTGTGATGGCTAGTTTTGTACCGGCTTGCAACACTCATGTTCCTCTAGCGCATTCATTCACTCATTCACACACACAGAATCTTGTGAAGCTGAGCGACAGAACATCAAACAGCTGCTCTGTCAGCCTGCTGGTATTTTGAGAAGGAATACGTAAAAATCCCAGCACACCACAGATGCACTGGAGGAGTGAAGATGCCGGAGTATCTGCCTGCAGCCCACATTGATAGCAAACACGAGTGTGTGTGAGAGTGTGTTTGTGCAAGCGTGCAGCTCCAGCTAACAATGTCGTGTGTGATCCGTCCACATGCTGAACGCACGTCTGCAAAGATCCGGCCTCCGATCTCACTGCATCCATCCCTGATGTGACGGAGAGACAGCGGAGGGGGATCATTAAACACAGCTTGGAGCCATCTACAGCCTGAAGGCAGACAAATCCATCCACACACACACACACACACACACTCACGAATAAATACACAAACACGCCAGACATTCACACAACAGCTCTGAGGCCAGTTCACTTTTCTCTCTCTGGAGCGTGTGATTCTGTTCTGTTCTTTCACTCGGAGTTATGAATGAACAGTTGGTGTTTTAAGGACTTCCTAGACTTTCTAAGGGCTTGAGCGTTACAACACATCACACGGTGCTGAGAGCCGATGAGATATGACCAAACATTTTCGTTTTTAAAACATTATTATTATTATTGCTGCAACCAGTGTAATTTTGTCGTCAAATAAATGTTTTATAATTAAGAGTTTTTTTGTCAATGAGAAGGACAAAAAAATGCCATTGTGATGATAATTAAATGATTTGGTAACACTTTCTATGAAGCACATATTCTTAGGGCATTATAATGAATGCATATTGCTTTATAAAAAAAACGTATATGTTGTTTCATCTCATAAATAATCATAATAATTATAATACATTATAAAACGTACTTATTTGTGGTTCTAACTTTTATGAGTATGATTATTTATAACATGCAATAAACACACATTTATAAATGTTAAATCCACTTAATTTATAATGGATTATAAGTCTCATATCTTGACATCATTTATTTAAGATTTGTACAGCATCTTACAATCTTATTGATATTACAATAAATATAGTTAAAATCAAATGTGCCATATTACACATTCATCTGACCAGATATCTGATCTTATGGCTGTTTAAGAAAAAAATAATATTAAAATAGCTGCTGTTTATAAGTGGTCTTTGTCTGCTTTAAGTAAAGTAACAAGTTAACAATGGCAAGATATGATAGTTATAATACATTATAAATATGGGAAATATAATCCATTGTAAGTTAAGTGGATGCATTGTGTTCATTGTGTGCTATAAATCATCATACTCTTAAAAGCTATAACCAAAAAATAAGTAAATATCATAATGCATTAAAACTGTTATGATTACTCATGAGATGATACAACATAGTATAAGGTTTTTTATAATGGATTATTCATTAATTATAATGCCTTAAGAATACTCTTATAATGTATTATAAATACGGGCTTCATAGAAAATGTTACCAATGATTTTAAACCAAATAAACTGCTGATGAAAATATTATGAGGAAAACATAACAGCTAGTGTTTATGAAATAATGACATATAAATGTGCAATTCTGAGAATTGTGAGAAAAAAAGTTTATATTGTGAGTTTATATCTTACAATTCAATGTTTTTTTCTTAGAATTGTGAGTTTA